GGTCTTAGGGGTCAATTCTAGCTGGACATAGTGAAATTTGTTGTGAATTTGGAGTGGGCCAAAGCCTTGAAAAATATTTTGTAGTCAGGAAGTGCCGGGTATTTTCTGCTCAAAATATCACGAACATCCTGGAACTTGCCATGGCGCGAAGGATGTTCAACGTGAAACCGTGAGTGAGACATTTTGTTTGAGCCGTTTTGCCTCTTTAGGGTAAAGGGAGGCTTGATGGTGCCTTAATTGTGTCATTTCCGGCCGTGGGTCGGGTTGACATGACATTAGAGAGATTTGTGGATCTTGCTGCATATTTCGTGATTTCTGTTGTTTTCGTGTCACATTCACAAGCTCTGGATGCTTCGCTCAGTTGATTTACATGATCGTCGATTTAAAGTTTTCGCCATTTCCGTGATTATTTGCGTGGAACTATTCTTGGGTAAAGGATGTTAGACTGAAACTTTGATTCCCAACTTAAGTCGGACCGTCTGACCTCTTGTTTACAAATTACGAGTGATAGGTTCGTTATTGACAGGTGTAAAACTATGATATTTGCAACATGTCAGAAATCTGTTTCTTGTTGTACTATAATCAAAGCAAGCGGTCTTAGGCCATACGTGCATGTTCATGTGCGAATATCTAAACGTTATTCCTTACTCGCAAACCGAGAGATTTGGCGAAATGTTTCTGCTAACCTGAATTTTCTTGAAGTACCTTCGATCAAATTTGCGTAGATATATATTGTCAATTACTGTATTTTAAAGTGAAAGCAGAAACAAAGCGCAAATCAGCGAAACAAAAACAAAAAACTGCCGGGCAATGTTTTTCTTTAAATTCAAGGCTACAAGCAGTCATTCCGCTGATTTGAGCAATATTAGATTTCACATACGTACCCTGGGTGCCAGGATTATTTTCCTCGCTGCTCCGCTCCTGGCTAGCGCAGCTTGGCCGCTTTGGGACCTCGAACCTTTGAAAAAATTTACCTAAGGAACCCAGGGTATCACATACACTACTTTCACTTCTAACCCTTCAATTGTAACATTCAACCAGCACTAG